TGTAGAACTAAACTAATTGATACTAAGTAGGTAAATATAAAATTTAGAATATACTAATGTAATTTCTTAAGTAATCAGAATTTCTTAATAATTWTAGCCTTAGATTTTTTTATATTTATTACCTATTAATTTACAGAAAAATCTGAATAAACTAATATTTTTTCTTGGTATTAACATATAGGCGCAATTATGAGAATTTGTAGTTCCCTCATCCCATCTCAGTTTTTAATCATATTTTAGTGTAAACAAAAATTTTCCTCGTTGCATCATGTACTGACCACATTTAGATTTATTTCTTAAAAATTCCATATAAGTAAAATGGGAATCACCGAACAAAAGCCCGGTCACAAAAGTCCCACGAAAAAAAGTCTGATGTCATAAAAGTCCCGCAAAAAAAAGTCCGGTTTAAAGATACCCAATAAATCGAAAACCATGTAGTTATATTTTTATATTATTATTTTTATTATCTTTTTTTTTAATTAAGTACCAAATAATTATAAATAAATTACAATGTTTTTTATATTTATACGAATAAATCCTTTTTTTAATGACCTTTTTAAGTGCTTTTTTTTATTTTTAGTGCATATTTATAATATTATTTTAATAGATTATTATCATGGAGGAATTAAATAATATTAACTCAAAGAATGAAGACCCATTTGAAGAAGCTGAAARGAATTTTAAATTTAAGCTTCAACCAAGTGATATTTCCAGTACTGAAGATTTTGCTAGGAATACTTTGCCCGATTTAATTTCAGAAAGTCAATATGAAGAATATTATGGAATCTTCAAAAAAAATATTTCCAAGTTCAAATTTCTCGATGGCCATAAAAAACAGCTGACTATGGTAATAGAGTGTTATAAAAATCTTTATTCTTTATAATCTGGTGTACATAATTTTCGATAGTGGTTTACCCCTCGTAAATAAATAAACCGGACTTTTATGACATCGGACTTTTTTTCGTGGGACTTTTGTAACCGGACTTCTGTTCGTCGGACTCTCTTTCGCCGGACTTTTAGGTAGAAACCCGTAAAATGGAGATTGATAATGAAAAAGTTTAAGTTTATGTAAGGAGTTTAAAATGATGAAATAGAATGTAATCTAAAAATCTGTGAGGAAAAGATACTTTTATCCTATCATGTTTAGATGTAGAGCCTAGTGTTAACTCTGCCACTCTGGTGTGAGACATAATCCATAATCAGTTTCAATACACTGTGCTCTCTACTAAATGTATCATTWTCTAATATTAGGTTAAATTTACTTATGTTTTCAGAGATTCTAATTTATTGCWATTTGATTTAATGTTAATCAGCAATTAATTTTTCTTTATAAAGAATAATTGTGAAGACTTGAAATTTTCACAAAATAATTTTATAATTTTATTCTCCATGTATAATGCAATTTTCAAAATGTTTACATTTATTTTAAGCTTTTTTTATTTTATCACAGGTATTCATTCGATTTTACTGTATATCTATTTTGATTTTAAGTGACATGCTTTGTTAGAGAACATTTTACTATACCTCGGAGTATACCTGCCAAATTCACAAATAAATTATAATAATATATTTAATATACGCTGTCCTCAGAAATAAATCCTAATCTATTATTATTTTTTATACAAATACWATAATTATTATTAGGTTGTTAAAATATCACCTATATTAAAATATTTATTATTTWTTTTTTTAAATATAATTTAAAAGATTTTATTCTCTTATGAATTGGTAATTTTATCTAGATTATATTATATCTATTTTTAAATATAGCACCTTAAAAATGTAAATAATTATTTAAAGATATTATTTACTGTAATACTATTTAATATTCTAAATAAACTTTAAATGTTTGCATGATAAACTAATTATTTCATATGCTTTCATGGTGTGAATGCCATCAAAATCTATGTTTGACAACACTTTTGCAATTCATTGAAATTATAAGTTATTATAAAAATCATTTCACCGTGGTCAATAATACTCACATAAATAACATTCAATATAATTAATTACTTATTATGTTTGTATATGTATATAATACATATTATTTATACGTGGATACTAATAATATTAACATTTACCATTTGATTAGCAAAATGCTATCAAGTCATCAATAACTTATCAACTATTTAAAATTATTTCCTATCACTTTCAATTCGTTCACATTATTTTATAAACAAAAAATAAGTTGATTCATTTTTTTTTTTTATGTGCATGCTTTCAGGCTATTAATCCGGTATTTCATACAGGGATTGAATGTTATTTATTCGAAGACTAGTATTTAGAAGTAGTATACATTCCCAATCGCGTGTGTTTTGCAGAACAATGTCGGGTGTGTGTTTGTTTAAATTTTATTGTATTCTTTTCATTTGCTTCTTTTTGATAGTTATTATTTCATTAAAACGCAATTTTTTGTTTAACGCTTTTTAAGAATATTCATTTTAAATAGTAAATTTGCTCATTACTCATTTTATGTGTTGAAAATTGTTTTATGTATTTACAGATTCTAATGATGATGTCATCGAACAAATTGTATGTAAAGAAAATGACATTCCTGATAACGGGTAAATCAATAATTTTAATATTGGTACATAACATTAAAAATAACATTAATTTTTATTAATAAAAAATAATAGAATGCAAGAATTTGAGATTGGAAACAATGGCAACAAAGTCTTAGTTGTTAAACAAAATAATGCATTTTTTGCTGTTGGATCAAAATGTTCACATTATGGCGCTCCTCTAGTAAAAGGAGCTCTAGGGAATGGCACTGTAAGATGTCCTTGGCATGGTGCTTGTTTTAACTTAAAAACTGGTAAAACAAATATTTATTACAAATATGATGTTAATTTTTAGGTGCTTTAAAACCTTATTTTTTTTATAAATAGGTGACATTGAGGATTTCCCTGGCTTAGATAGTATTCCAAGTTTTAAGGTTTCTGTAACCAATGGCAATGTAAAAATATCTGCCAAGAAGTGTGCACTTGAAAATCCAAAATTTGTGAAACCATTAACTAAACGCAATCCAGAAAACAAGCGTACATTCATTGTCATTGGAAGTGGTAATTTAGTTATTTTATCATCAATTYAAATTTAAATTAACATTAAATTTTTGCTCCAGGACCTGCTGGTACAGAATGTGTAGAGAAATTAAGACAAGAAGGATATGATGGTCGATTGATATTGATCACTAAAGACAGTTATTTACCATATGACCGAACCAAACTTAGCAAAGCCTTAAGTTCTGAAATCAATAGCATATTGTTACGTTCTCAACAGTTTTATGATGTAAGTTAATTATTCTTAATTTTATAAGCAATTTGTTATATTTTAAAACTGACTGCATAATATAACAACATTATTTTTAGTCAAAAATTACAGTACTTAATTTTTATCTTTTTAAAGAAAAGTTATAAATATTTTTTTTTCAAGTCAAGTTGTTTGTTACAGGTTAATATTTTTCAATATGTATTACCATAAAATAACCAAGTTTTTCAAAAAGCAATAAAATTTGTTTAGTTTATTGCTTAGTAACGTTTTAACAACTTTATAATCTTTCTATTTTTCAGTCTGGAGACATTGAAATTCTAACTAAGACTAGCGTAGAATCGATCAACACAAGTACAAAAATTGTATATTTATCAAACAATGAACWATTAACTTTTGATGCTTTGTTTATTGCCAGTGGAATGACGTAAATACCCATTGTACTAAAATAATTACTATTTATTTTTCTAATAATTACATATATTTAGGCCTCGTTTTACACCAGAAGTTTCCAAGTATGACAATGTATTTACATTGCGCACAATCGATGATGCACATAAAATCCATCAAAGTTTGTCGTCTGATTGCCATTTAGTCGTTGTTGGATCATCATTTATTGGTAAGATTTAAATTTTTAAACTTCAATTAAAATTATTAATATTAATTGAATAATAATGAACACAATAAAATATAATTTTAGGTATGGAATTAGCTGCAGCAACTTTTTCTAAAGTAAAATCTGTGCATGTGATTGGTCGCAGTGATGTACCTTTCAAAGAAAGTTTAGGAAAAGAAATAGGCGAACGAGTGCAGGAATTATTTGAATCCAAAGGAGTTGTGTTTCACATGAAAACAAGTGTAAAAAATTACATTGGTTACAATAATCGACTTTCTGAAATAGAATTGTCTGATGGTCAAAAGTTAAAGGCAGACGTATGCATCATGGCCACTGGATCAAAGACTAATGTTGAATTTTTGGCTGGTTCTAATGTCGCGATTAACTCTTCTAATGGTACAATTGAAGTTGATAAGGTGTGATTTTTTTTTCTTAACCATACTTGAATGATTTAGTAATAACTGATAACATAAAAAAAAAAATTTTTGTTTCAATTTATAGAATTTGGAAACTAATGTGAAAGGAATCTTTGCTGGTGGAGATGTTGCCAATGCTCCTATCTACCCTTCCGATATAAAGTCGTCCTTAGGTCATTGGCAATTAGCTACTTACCATGGAAAAGTTGCTGCCTTACAAATGCTTGGTAAAAAAACTCCTATTAAATCAGTGCCCTTCTTCTGGACAGCATTATTTGGAACTAGTATAAGATTTGCTGGTATGTACCTTTTTTTTTTTTAATTGTGTGTGGTTTTTTTTTTAAATATGGTAAATAATTTAAATTATGCTTATTTTATAATTTTAAAGGATATAACCGAGGTTACACTGATGTTCTAATTAATGGTGATCTTGAGAACTTCAAGGCTGTTGTATATTATTGCAAAGGAAATGAAGTAGTAGCAGTTGCAACAGTTGGAAGTGATCCAATCGCTGCTCAATTTGCTGAATTATTGGGAAGTGGTAGGACATTGAACAAAGATCAAGCGATTGACAATAAATGGTTGACTAAGGAAGAAGATACAGTTGTGTGCACCAGGCTATGATTAACTGTGCTTTGAACTAAAATTATAACCTTAATTTTTTTTCAATATTTTGTTAACTAGTAACTTAACATGTCGTATATGTATTTAAATGTTTATAATCACATTAATTAATTTTACATTTTATTTTCCTTTATACATTCACAAACGTTAAAGTAAACATGCAAACTATGTTATAAAAAATCTAATTGTTTCATAATTGTTGTGAAAGCTCTTAGTAACTTTCCCATCCATCTGATGACCTAAGATGACTTAAGTGATTTTCAATTGACTTGTGTTGTCCAAATTTTTCTGCTTGCAACACTTTCCATTTCCTCATCCATTTTTCAAAACGACCTTGTTCTTTTGAATGACCATATGACTCTTCCTATAATAGCAAACAGCTTTAAATTCTAAACTACGTTAATATAAGTTTGAAATTAACTGTTGACCCGAACAATTTAAATACTAGTAAATTAATATATCATGGTATAATACATATTGATATAAAAATTTAAAATATAAAATTCATTTTTAACAGGAAAATTTATCTAATATCTATTTCAATGCATAGTTACCTTGGTCAAATATGAGTGCCTGAGGTAAAACATGTTTTGTTCTTCTCGTTGAAGATCTCTAAGTTTTTTATGTATATCTAATCCAGTAACTGGTTTGACCAGACGATGTTTACTATAATAAAACAAGTGAATTAGGTAAAACTAGTAAACAAAATATTGATTAACTTTTAACTATATTAGTTTAAAACCTAATACCTATATTATAAAACTAGAATTTTATTTAATATTAATTTTTAAAAACTATTACTATATAAGTTTTTCTGGACATAATTTCTATGTAAGGATTTTCGACAAAAACTTCTTCCGAGTACCTACTCATATTTTTGTATTATTATTAGGGCTTGAACTAAGAACATTAGAAGTTACTGTTATACAAATTGATATATATCGAAATTAAATTAAAAAGAATGTGTGCTTATATAATATAATAATTATTACTGTTTACTGATTAGGTAGGTCCATTAATACCTTCAATTTAAATTGTTGCAAACAAAATAAATATATAAATGATCATGAATTGAACAGGTTTAAAAATTATGTAATATTTCTCTTTCACTTATTTAATTTAAAAGGATAGAATTGTTTTTGTGTAAATCAGTTATCTAACACAAGAAACGACATAGTAAATTTCAGTTATCTCTTATTGCCATTATTAATATTTCAATGCTAATATATATAGTATATTATAATATATTATACATTAATATAATATATAATGCATATAATTTTATGCTGGATGAGATTATAGGCCATAATATYGAAAAGAAAAATAGTGAAAAAATATTATTATAATAAGTACAAGTATAAAAATATTCACAAAATCATAGTTAAGTTGTAAGCGATACCTTTTAAATAATTAGTATTGTAAGATAAGGTTAAATTACGTATTTTTTCTAAACAATTTTTACATATATATATTATTTTTTTATGTTTTTTGGCACCAGCAATGAACTGTTMCTGTTTGATGTCCTCTAAATGTTGCTGACCTTTAAACACATCAATAAAAGCCCATAATGTTGGATGATATGCACCTTAAATAGTTAATATAAACAGTAGGCACCAACAAATTGGTYGTCAATACATGTATAGTGTAAATTTGAGTAATAAGTGTCGGGATGCACTTAAATGTACCATTGACGAACCAATTATTACATTTTTCCATTAATTCTAAATTTTCTTTATTAAAAAATATTAAAATACGTTCATCTGATGGGCCGCTATCGTACTGCATGAATTGTCTTCCATCTTTAGTTAAAGTATACCTTTCAAATATTTGGAGGTTGAAAAGTGACTGAGGATTTGGAGGTGCGTTGWGCACCATTATATTGGCGTACTCTTCTTAACGTATGTTTTAAATTAGATATTTTGGGTAATGCACCTGATATCACTGGATTTAATTGTGATGAAGCAATTATTTATTGAGGGTTATCTTGTGACGATAGTGCTTGGGATTTAATTCTATCAACTTCATTTTTAACTTCTAATTTACATATTATATCTGGAACAGGTTATGCTCTGAAGGCTYTTTTTTAATTTTATCATCACTAGTAGTTTTTAATCGACTTTTATATTGCATATCTATACATTTCCAATACTTTGATTCCTTGTATATTTTTTCCTCTCTATAGGTATAATTGTATAACTATTATTCACGAGTAAAAGTTTATTTATTATTAGACTTAATAAATTCCATAACTCAAAAATCAAATTTAAAAAATAGAGTTCAAATAGAATGTTTGTAACCTTGAATCATAATAATAATGAGACTAAAAAAGATTATATTATATATTCCCTATTCTCTATTTAATATTTACTATAAAAATAAGTTTTCCCCTAAACATTCAATACATTATTTTTTGGTATAATTTAGCTTCATTATTTTTATTTTCGATATTTTTAATTCGCTTTTTTGGCTGGACGAGTAATTATTACTAATTCAAYTTTTGATGTTAAATAAATCTGTTATATAGTATTTTGTTTTTCATATAAATAATCTAATAATATACATAGGTAATCGTTTAACTAGTTAGGTATAATAATAATTGTGTGGTTAAAATAAACATACATTTTCTAAGACATATTACACAAGTGCCAATCTTATTTTATAGTAATTTATCAACCATTAAATGCTATTCTTGATAAATGGATTTCTCTTTCTTAAATAAGTCAACTAAAATTTTAAGCAAATAGAAAAAAATGTAATTGAAAAAGTAGATAGCAAAGTAATAACAGGTTATTACAGTCTTTCAGAAGAATATTTCAGGTTGATCAAAAGATAAATCATTGGTCATTTAGATTATAATAAAGTATATAAATAATTAAAAACTGAAATTAATTAAGTAGGTTGATTKTTTTAAATTAGCAAATTCTAGCTTTCATAAAAATGAAATCCGTTTATGTAAAATAATGATTATAATTTTCATTCATGGCCAAAATTGGTAACATAAAGCCGGGTCCACACTAGGAYGAACATTGTTGTCGAACATGTTCGTTGAGAATGTCTCCTGGCTCAACGAACCAATTATGCTACTTGATACTGTACTTTAAAATGTTCGTTAAAAATACACAAAGATTTCCCGCCTTTTAAATTAGGAACTTAMAGATTTCGCATTCATATTATTTATTTAATTTTAGCTGGAACCTACATCTAGTGTGGAGCAAACAAATTGCCAATTTTTCTAAAAAATTATCAGTTTTAATTTTTTTTTTTAGATTCTGAGCGGAGCTATGAATGTATTAATTTTACCATGATGTGTGTTTTTATTTTTTTTATTTTTTTTGTGTCT